GCACCAGAAGGATGAAGGAAGCAGCTGCTGCAGCCTTACAGTGCCTGCTGTCCCTGCAGCTGATGGCACCTACGTTGGATCTGCCACTTTTGCCACAACTCACCTCAAGCCCCTGAGCCCCTGTGGAGGTGAGAACAACATCACCATTCAGACCTTTCACCTCTAACACTTTCTCCCCTTGGGTGTGTCATTGGCCCCTCACTTGCACTCACCTTCCTTCACCTACAAGGGAAAGGCTCAGGCTCGTGAGCACCTTCTCTGTTATTGCTTTCTTACACACATATTTCCTGGGGTATTTACAACATCTCTTCCCACTCTCCGCTGCTCTTTTTGATATTTTAGTAGAAGTTAAAACTTGCCCATGTGTGCATGTGTGTGTTTGTGCTTCCGAGAGGAGCTTATCAATAGGTTATATATCCGGTGGAAGCAAACAGGCTCCCAGCCAGTGATGGACCCACTGAAATAATTCAAAGGTTATCCTGAAGATGTTGGTGTTACAAAACCCTCACAAAAAAACAGGGTGATTTTGCCCTGAGAAAAGGTAGTTTTGACCCAAACTGGGTTCGAACCACAACAGATGAAAGGTTGGAAGATTTCGTACCCCCACTACCATTACCCACAGCCTTGTCAGAATGATTTGAAAACCCCCTAAGGGAGATGATGGTCCTAGAAAAAAAAAAAAAAAAAAAAAAAAAAAAAAAATTCACCATGACACATGAAGGGTTGGAAGATCTCGTTCCCCCACCGCCATTACCCGCACTTCAGCACCGCTCTGACAGGCAATGAGAGTTGAGGGCCTGGCGAGATTAAAGGTCCCTTTTAGCATGAGCTACCAGACCTTGATGCCTGGTAAGAAGTTGTTAAGAATTATCCAGATGGTCCTGTGGGGCTGTCAGAGCGTTCTGAATTAATTCTTAAAAATCAGGCCCCTGATTGGAGTGACATCAATTTCATGCTGGATGCTTTGACTGAAACAGAAAAAGAGTTGGTCATAAAACCTGCTTGTACTCAAGTCCAGGCTCCAATAACAGCAGGAACACTCACGGCAGGGGCAGATCAACATGTACCCCTGACTGAGATCTGAATGATGTTATAGAGTCTTGAACATTAAAAATATATCCAGAATGGATAAAATTTGGACTAGAAGATGCAATCTCTAAGGCTTTACACAAGCATTGAAATATAATTTGGGAAAACAAAATGGAATTCATTGATTTTTGTACGTAGTGGGATCTCCTAAATCATTATTGGGAAGGGACTTGCTTGAACTAATGGAAGCCAAGATTGTTTTGGGAAAAGGAAAAGCTACCTTAGAAGTTGATAAACAAAACTGAAACAAACAAACAAAACAAACAAAACTTTGACTCCAGCATTGATCCAGAATGAAGTGAGCCTGAAGTTCCTCAGGAATTAATGGACCAGGTGTACCCAGGGGTTTGGGATACAGAAATACCTGGAAGAGCAAAGAACGCCTTCCCAGCAGTAGTAGAACTGAAACCAAATGTGAACCTGGTGAAAATTCAGCAATATCCTTTGAAATTGGGAGATAGAGAAGAAGTTAGAAACATAATTAACAAGTTTTTAAGCAATGCACTTTTGGTGGTGTCACGAGCCAATGCCAGGGGGTGGATCAGCAGTCAGATGCTTCTGCAACGTCCCCTCCCCAGTTTGGAGGGGCTGTTGAATGAGCCCAAGGGTCACACACGGCGTTTGCCTCCCACAGAGGAACGGGCGCTGCGGAACCGTGTTTGAGAGTGGCAGTTGGAATGCACCCCCACCACACCCACAAAGTGCTGCTGAGACCCATGTTTAGTTTACGAATTAACTGCTTGATTAAGGCTGAACACAAACTGTGGGATGAGATTTAGGGAAAACGTACAAATGGAAAATGGCTACCAGGGATAGACCAGGGAAGTCGTGTGTCCTTTGGGGAGGTGATGCCAAAAGTGCTGTGTCCTTAAGGCGTTGTCTGCGAGAGAGGGTTGTGGATCAAAGGAGAGGGAGGGAGGAGTTGATCCCAGCAGGACAGGTTGAGAGTGGGGGTGTGTGTCTTTACCCGTGTGTAGCGTGTGGCTTGTGGGATGTGGCTTCTTTTCCAGCTGGCAGGGCTCAGCAACAGGTTCGTAGGCTTCCAGCTCTCGGGTAACAGGGCAGCAGCGGTTTGGTTTCCCCACCATACTTCCTGCCTTGTACCACATCTGTTGCTTTGCTTTAATTTGTCCTTGAGCAGCAAGCCTGGTTTTGGTCCGTTAGCTGGGAATAGTCAGCAGAAGGTCTTTGCTGGCTTAAAAGGCATTTCGTTTGGACTTATGTGGGGAAGAAAAAGAACATTTTCCCACAAGTGGAATGTAAATGAGAACATAACACACCAGTTCTCCCAGTGAGAGAAGCAGATGGAAAGGGGTATCGGTTAGTGCAGGATTTAAGGGCAATCTAAGATTACCAAAGACATCCACCCAGTGGTTGCAAATCCTTACACATTGCTGGCAAAATTCAATTACAATCAAAAATGGTTGGTAGTCTTGGATCTAAAAGATGCTTTCTTCTGCCTCCCTTTGGAAAAAGAATATCAAAAATTATTTGTCTTTGAATTAGAAAATCCTGATTTGGGGAGAAAAGCTCAACTCATTTGGACTGTGTTGTTCCAAGGATTCAAGAACAGTCCCATTTTGTTTGGAAACCTGTTGGCCAAAGATCTGGTGGAATGGGCATCTCCTCTGGGAGAAGAGACAGTGCTTAAGTATGTAGATGATCTACTGATAGCAACTCAACCTAGAGAAGAATGTGAACAATGAACAGCAGGTCTCCTGTCATGGTTTGAGTCAGGATTAGCGATTGAGCCAATGACAATAATGCTCTGGATCCCCTCCCACCCAGGCAGAGAGAGAGAATTAGGAGAGAAACTCCTCTAGGTGGAAAACTAAACTAGACAGCTTTAATGAAACACTAATAATAAAAGAAAATATGCACAATTCGATTCAAGTGTGTTCAGGAATGTGCAAACCCCTCTTGTCTTCCCCCCACCCCCACAGCTCCCACGGCATCTCCTGAGCTGTGAGCACACCCAAAATGTCCCAGAGCTGCTGGGGAGAGGGCAGGGCAGAGCAGCCAGGAGCTGAGGGGAGAGTTATGAGGGTCAGGAATGCATGAGCATGGGGATCAAAGGGGATGGACAGACAGAGCCCTTTCCGGATGCTGGCCATGGATGGGAGAGAAGGGGAGAAGAAGCAGGAAGGAATTTGACTCCTGTGATCCCTGACCATACATTGAGCCCTAGGTAGATATCTATGAATTGAATATCTCTGGCCAACATTGTTGTCGATCTAGTCTGCTCCACCCTGCAGGAGGGCCTGCAGATAAGACTCTTCTGCTCCTTTAAAGGACAAAGCCATAAATCTGACAAGTGAGCAAAGCATCCTTGGTCTCTTGACAGCATCTATAAACATTCCAGTGTTATCAGTCCAGCAGCTGGAAAACTTGCAAGTTTCAGCAAGTGGCTGCTTGTGTCATGAGAGCAACATCAGTCTCATGTCATGGAGGGGACATCAGGCCTGTGTCATGGCCAGGAGGAGAAGACACATCCCACTTTGCTGGTGCTTCACAAACCTCAATGCAAAGGCCACACGTGAATGCAGATAAGGGGCTGAGGAATCCCTACTTTCAAATGGAGGGGCAGGAGGGCAATGACCAACCTGGCATTTACCCAGGGAAGGCTCTTCTTGGTCCTAAACTGGCATCTGTCTCAAGAAGGCAAAGCGCCCTGAACTGAGTGTGTGTGTGTGACAGGGATGTATGTGGAAAGGGGATCCTCCCATTGAAGCCACAGGGTCTCAGACTACAGCCCCTTTCTCTCCAACAAGCCTCCTGTACTGGGCACTTGGGGTGCTGGCCTGCAGTCTGACTTCCCAGGTGTTCACCTACAATTTATGACTAAAAGATCAGGTGTGTTTATGACCACCAAATATTTGTGTGTCCCACTGTGCTCAAGTTAGGCTGTGTGAGAGTGGATTATCCAAGTGGAAAATCCAAAGCAGTAAGATGGAAATGTGAGGTGATTGATTAAGGCCACAGACAGAACAAGGTGGACATGGGCCTTGGTAACTGCACTGACTTCAACAGCCCTACAAGAGGGGTTAATTTTGCAGCAATAGCAAGACAAAGTGCACAATAAACAGCGCAACTGGGGATGTAGTAACTAGTGTATTCATTGGCTTCTTGCAGACTAATAATGTTTATTAATTAGGAAGAAGTTAAGAGAGACACCAATATGTGTGGAGCCTTCCCTGCACTTCGCAAGTCATGCTCAGTCCACCCTGTAGCCATGAGGGAACTGGGGATGGGGACAAGCAGACAAGGACAGGATGCATCCCTTCCTGCCAGTCAGGCCTGTCTTCCCCACCAAACACCAACTTGCCTACTTGTCTTGTCCAAGGCCCAAGGCCCAGCTGAGCACTGCTCACCTCACACTCCTCTGCACAGCTCCTGCCAAGAAAGTTCACACAAAGCAAATCCAGGTTCTGTTTTCCCATCTCTAAAACAAACCACAAATGGTATCAAACCTCCAGTCAGTTCAGGAGGTGTGTGTGTCCCCATTTTCCAACCACCACAGGTGGACAATGAAGAGCAGAGAACAATTCTTGGGTCTAAATCTCCCCAAAACAGCATCCGAGAAGACAAAGGCTTTTTTCACTTCAAAACGACCCAGTCCAACCTCGTTGCTCCCTTTTCCTTGTAAATCCCATCACTAACTCACCCTTAAACGCTCCATATGAGTATTTCCCCTCCCTTCAAATAATACCCTGTGTCCCTCCCATCACACCCGCTTTGTCTCTTGAGGATGGTGTCACCATGATAAAGACTCTGCTTTCATCTCATTTTGGAAAGAGGGTGATCTTGACCGTGCCCCTTCACTCTTGGTGATCCCTGAGCTGGGTCAGGAAATAAGGGACGAGATCCCATCTCTGGTAAAACCTCTTCTCACACTGGGAGCAGCTGAAGGGTCATTCACCCGTATGGACCCGTTGATGTTTCCGCAAGCTGGAATGGTCACAAAAACTCTTCTGGCACTGGGGACACATGTAGGGTTTCTCTCTGGTGTGGATGCGTTGGTGCTTGATGAGCGCAGAGCTCCAGGCAAAGCTCCTCCCACACTCCAGACACTTGTAGGGTCTCTCACCTGTGTGAGTCCGGCGGTGTTTATTTAATGAGGATGTGTGGACAAAGCTCCTCCCACACTCCAGACACTTGTAGGGTCTCTCACCCATTTGCAGTTGCTGGTTCTGGGTTATAGATGATCTCCTGAGAAAATCTGCCCTGCAGTGCTGGCAGTCATAGGACCCCTTCTCTCCCTGGGAGCAGCTACAGGGTAGGTCATCTGTATGGACCTGTTGATGTTTCCGCAAGTTGGAGCTGTGACTGAAGCTCCTCTGGCACTGGGGACATGTGTAGGGTCTCTCTCCTGTGTGGGTGCGTTGATGGCTGATTAGTGTTGATCTCGTGGCAAAGCTCTTCCCACAGTAGGGACACATGTAGGGACGCTCACCCGTGTGGACCCGGAGGTGACAGTTGAGGTTTGAGCTGCTCGTAAACTTCTTCTTGCACTTGGGACACACGTAGGGTTTTTCTCTCTTGTGGATATGTTGGTGACACATCCAAATGCTGCTCCTACGGAAGCTCTTCCCACACTCCAAACACATATAGGGTCTCTCCCCTGTGTGGGTCTGGTGGTGTTTATTTAATGAGGACTTGTCAGCAAAGCTCTTCCCACACTCCAGACACTTGTAGGGTCGGTTACCTGTGTGGAGCCGTTGATGTTGCCGCAAGTTGGAGCTGTGTCTGAAGCTCTTCTGGCAATGGGGACATGTGTAGGGTTTCTCTCCTGTGTGGATGCGTCGATGGCTGATGAGCAAAGAATTCCAGGCAAAGCTCTTCCCACAGTCAGGACACGTGTAGGGACGTTCACCCGTGTGGAGTCGCTTGTGACAGGGTAAATTTGTGGAGGCAACTCTTCCCACACTCCAGGCACCTGAAGGGTCTCTCACCTGTGTGGATTTGCTGGTGCTGGGTTAACTTGGATTTGTTAAGAAAATTCTTACCACACTCCTGACACTTGTAGGGTCTCTCAACCATTCGGAGTTCCTGGGTTTCAGTTTTAGATGATCTGTTGAGAATATCTTGCCTGCAGTGCTGGCAGTCGTCGGACCCCTTCTCACCCTGAAAGCAGCTACAGTGTCGGTCATCTCTATGGAGCCGTTGATGGTCCCTCAAGTTGGACCTGTGTCTGAAGGTCTTCTGGCAGTAGGGACACATGTAGGGTTTCTCTCCTGTGTGGATGCGTTGATGTTCAATGAGCTCAGTGCTTCTGGCAAAGCTCTTCCCACACTCCAAGCACCTGAAGGGTTTCTCCCCTCTGTGCATTCGCTGGTGCCGGGTTAAATAGAAGTTGTGAGTAAAACCCTTCCCGCACTCCTGACACCTGAAGGGTCTCTCATCTGTGTGGATTCGCTGGTGCTGGGTGAAATTTGATCTTCTGTTAAAAGTTTTCCCACAGTCGGGGCAGTTGTAGGACATGGCACTGGGTACGGGTGTCACCGTGGGTCCAGACACGAGGCAGCTCCAACAGGGGAACACCTCTATAAGGCCTTTTGCCTCTATGGATGATTGGAGATGGACTGGTAGGATCCTGACCCTTTCCTGGGTTCCTCACCAACAGCAAAGTCTCCCACATGGATTGGATGACGTTTCACCAATGTTGAGCCATGACTAAAGCTCTCCTGCACTCAGGGCACATGGATGGATGGGTCAATAAAGCTGCATCTTGGTTCAAGCTGTGGCTGCCCTCAGGGGACTTCCAGGGTTTTCAGTGGTGTGGGGATCACATCACACCAGCTCTGGAAGAAAATGGGGTGCAAGGTGAAATGGGGGTGTTGCCCATGGTGTTGGACACCCACGCATACACACTTAAATGGGCTGCAGGGGATTCAATGAGACCTCAAAACAGTGAGGTGGGGGGACACTGGGTGCAGGGTCTTTGGGGAATGCTGGGGGTCTCAGCCACTCCTGGGATGAGTTGGGCTCCTCCCATTGCACCCACCTTCCTTGAGATAATTTCGGCATCCTCCCACTGCAGCCCCAACCACTCCCGGCGTGAGGTAGGGGTCTCCCTGTGGAAGAACAGACCTTGTAGATGTCTATGATGTGCTAGTTTGCTTTAACGAATGGTACAGGGGAGGGGACCAGGGTGGCCCGTGCAAGAAGATGAAAAGCTCTCCCAGCTCCAAAACCTGCAGCCACAGCTCTGGCCAAGGCCGAGGCATCAGAAACCAGGGATGGGCCTCTGCCACTGAGATATGAAAGGAGGGGAAACGTGAGAGCAGAGGAGAGGGGGAGGTGGAGAACTCTGTGGAGCCCAATGAGAGCAGCGGTGGGAGCAGCGCTGGAGCAGAGATACCAAGGGCGGAGAGGAAAGAGGGGGAGCAGGTGCCTGAGCACAGTTTCCCCTGCAGCCCGGGAAGGACCACGGGGGCACAGATGGGACGTGCAAAGCCCGTGGAGCTACAAAGAAGCCCGTGGAGCCCCAAGAAGCCCGTGGCTCTGTGGGCAGCCCACGCTGCAGCGTCTGTTCCTGAGGGGGAACAGGGAGGGACTCCTGTCGGAGGGTTGCTGAAGGACTCTCTCCCGTGGCAGGGACCCCGCGCTGGAGCAGGGGAAGGCTGTGAGGAGTCCTCCCCATGCCGGGGAAGGAGCAGCTGGAAACAGCGAGTGACCAAGTGGCCGGAAAGCCCCTTCCCTGTCCCCCTGTGCCGCTGGGGGGAGGAGGGACAGCAACGGGGAGCAAAGTCA